CAGAACCAAGATATGGAAGCAAGCTAACTGCCCATCAACACATGGATAAAGAAGATGTGGTATACATATTTATAATGGAATATCACCCATTCATAAAAAAATAAAATCTTGCCATCTGGCACAAATGGGGATGGACCTAGATGGTATTATGCCAAGTGAAATAAGTCAAACAGAAAAAGAAAAATGCTACAATAAAAAACAAAACAAATACCAAAAACAAAAAAAAACAAAAACAGAAATAGACTCATAAATCCAGAAAACTAACTGGTCGTTGTCAAAAGGGAGGGGGAAGGTAGAATGGGTGAAATAGGTGAAAGGGAAAAAAAAGGTACAAACTTCGAGCATAAAAGAATTTAAGTTATGGGGATGAAAATATAGCACAGTCAGTAATATAATAACTTTGAATGGTGACAGATGATCACTACACTTAACCATGGTGAGCATTTCATAATGTATATAAATGTCAAGTCATTATGTTGTCTACCTGAAACTAATATAATATTGTACATCAACTCTACTTCAATTAAAATATATAACAAAAAAACCCCAAAATGAACTCACAGGTAGAGAGAACAGCTAAGTGGTTGCCAGAGGTATGCGGTGGTGGGGGGGGGTGGCGCGAAACGGTTAGAGGTTGTCAAAAGGTATAAACTTCCTGGGGATCTAACGTACAGCATGGTGACTACAGTTAACAATACTGTAGGGTATATTTGAAAGTTGCTAAGAAAACAGATCTTAAAAGTTCTCATCATATGAAAAAAAACTTTCTGTAACTGTGTACCATAACAGATGTTAACTGCAGTTATTGTGGTGATTATTTTGCAGTCTACACAAATACTGAATCATTACATTGTATGCCTGAAATTAATATAATGTCATATGCCAATTATACTTCAATAAAAACAATTTCTTTAATTAAAAAAATTTTAAACAATTATTGCAGAAGTCTGAAAAGATATTAAATCAGAATTCTATCAGCCTACATTACTCTTCTTTCAATATTTTAAACATTATGCCAAAGATAAGCCTCTCTATTATAAATCTAAATAGAAACACTAATATGATCACTTTAGAAGAGAAATTCGTAACTACATTCAGGGTTCCTGAGGCTAATCTAAATTGATCTACTTATATAAGGACAGGTAAAGCTCTAGGGTTTTTTTATTTTTGTTTTTGTTCTTCTTTAAATTGATTTGTTAAGACTATCCAAAATCACCTGATGGTAACTTTTTAAAATGTCAGCTTGGCTAGGGTAAAGCACTCAGATCCTTAACTAACACTAATTTAGATGTTGCTATGAAGGTATTTTGCAGGTATAATTAAATCCTCTAATCCATTTAAGTAAAGGAGATTATCCCAGATAATCAGAGTAGGCATAACTGAATCCTTTGGAAGGCCTCTAAAAACAGGTGAGAAAAAAAAATTCTGCCTATGGACTTGGCAGAATTTTTGCTCGTGCCCATGGGATTTCTATCCTGCTGGTGATCTTCTCTTCCCGTCAGCTAGCCATCCAGATTTCAGACTTCCTTTGCCAGTCCCTCGCAAGCATGCAAGACAACTCCTTGTAATAAATTTCCAGACATTATACACACACACACACACACACACACACACACATATATCTCCTACTACTTCTGCCTCTCTGGTTGCACTCCCAACTTACATACACCACAGTATAAAATATGAATTTAGAAGTAATACTTCTTACATTTAATTGGGAAAATATTTTTTATGTGCAGACCTATGGTGGGCTTACATAATCCTTTTAAAAACTGCAGTAAGTGGGCACCTGGGTGGCTCAGTTGGTTAAGCAACTGCCTTCAGCTCAGGTCATGATCCCAGGCTCCTGGGATCGAGTCCCGCATCGGGCTCCCTGCTCAGCAGGGAGTCTGCCTCTCCCTCTGACCCTATCCCCTCTCATGCTCTATCTCATTCTCTCTCTCAAATAAATAATAAAATCTTTAAAAAATAAAAAAATAAGAACTACAGTAAGTCAGGGCACCTAGGTGGCTCAGTCGTTAAGCGTATGCCTTTGGCTCAGGTCATGATCCCAGCCAGGGTCCTGGGATCGAGGCCCGCATCGGGCTCCCTGCTCCATAGGAAGCCTGCTTCTCCCTCTCCCACACCCCCTCCTTGTGTTCCTGCTCTCGCTATCTCTCTCTCTGTGTCAAATAAATAAATAAAATCTTTAAAAAAAAAAAAACTGCAGTAAGTCAGTGCCACAACACTAAATCATCTTCTAACAGGAGCTACTATTGTTCTACAAGGGCAATGTAAGGGACTATTCATTTTTATCTAGATCACAAAGAACAGCACTGGAAATTCTTTATGAATTCTTTATCTAAACCTTTTAACATTGGAGATCCTTATATAAGAAGCACTAGGAAATATGCAAAGGTTACTAAGAATTTTCTCTAGTTCAATGATCATAACAGTCTACTTTTTGCATTTAGAAGGCTGCTGAACACCCTTGGAAATGAATTCTACATCCTGAGTTACGGCGTGGCACTACCGTCATACTAGTAAGGGGACACTACTTAAAGGGCATTCCAGCATTAGAACAACCACATACAAGATTGGCTAGAAACAAAGACGAAGACAATCATAATCAACAATATCAGAATCGTACCAGACAGAACATATACTTTTTCCACAAAACAAAGTACCCAAGAGGTACAGTTCAACTTGACACATACCGGCTGTTCTTTAATTCTGATCAAGCAAAATTCCCAGCAAGCCTCAGCAGTAGCAGGAGCGGCAGGAGCAATTCAGTCTAGTACAGAACTGTAGCCTTACATAACACTCACTTTCCCAGGAAGGCCCAAACAAACCCCCCTGACGGTGCAGGGACAGAAACCTGGCGTGGAAGGTACAAACTGCGGGAGACTGGCTTTCTGAGAAACAGCATGGCCAAGAGGGGACACACACAGAGACACACAGAGACCAAAACCCCAATGGATTAGGACCATGATAAGACAAATCAAAAGAAAGGTGAAGAAATTCAAATGATAAATTATGGGGAGACAGACACCCACACATAGGAAATAGTGGAATGGCAACACAAGAAGCAAATGGTTAGTAAGAAACACAGCAGCCACACACGTGCACCTCAGTACTAAATATGGGAACAAAAGGCATAATATAATCCTAACTGTCTCTGACTATCATTCGTATCTTAAACTATATAGCTGGGCAACAAATTATAAAGCCAGTAGCAAAAACTGAGTTTTAAAAACTTTCTTTTTTTTGATAGCCAAGAAACTCTGTGTCAAATCCTAAAACAAAATCATAATGGTACCTGGCTAGAGGCTAAAACTGTGTGGTGCTTTCCAACCTTTTAAGTTATATTCTGTGGAAAGAGTAGATAATTTATAACTTTCTCAAAATGTGAGAAATATAGTGGTTAATGAAAGCAATTTGTTGTGTTTTGGGTATCAAATAGAGATTTAATCCTATTTCTTACTATCTTCCAAGTCACACCCAACTCCAAAAATCAGTATTAGGTCCAAAAATGAATCAAAAAGTTTTTCAAGCAAGCAGCCTGGAATAACAAGCAATAATTTCAATGTAGATTTCTAATACAAGAAAACAAACCGAAAAATGAAACTTGATCAGGAATTTTTCTTCTGAAATATTAAAATATTTGGTGGGAAGTCACTAATCCAACAAAAGTATTATATTTTAAAACCTAGGCAGCACTGCTGATTTCAGGCCAACACAAAAGCAGAGAGACATGTGTTCATGTGAGTATGTAAGTGTGTGTGTGTGCTAGGGGACAAACTGTAATGCAAACATGAAAAGGGGCATATAAAAATACAATAATCTCATCTGGAGACTGGCAATTTTTAATTCTAATCTAAAGAATTCTATCCATTCGTCTTATCCAGAACCAGAAAATATGAATAGAGTTAATATTAATGTAAGAAGAATCTCATGAGTATGCAATCAGTATAGGGAAGAAAAATCGTGAGGGTTAGACTTTATTGTTTTAGTTTCTTGAAAATCAAAATTCTATGGGTACAGAACAGGAAAAAAATCAATTCCAGGGGGGAATCTCAAGTCTCCCAGTCTCCCAAAAATGTTAAACTTAATAAACAACTTATGAAAGTCATCTCATATTTCCCAATCTTGAAGAACATGAAAATAAAATATTCCTAAGAATCAGCTCCAAGGAGCCACATAGGTTAATGACTTCATTCTGTCACTGTTGTTTCTATTTAGAAGAATATGAGTGATGAATGAAGTTCTACTAGAAGAACTACTTCAAAGTACTTGTAAATTTAGGTTAAATACATGCTGTAAAAGAAGAGGTCGAAAGACATATACTTAATCTTTAGTATAAAACACTCTAATTACAAAAAAAAAAGAAAACTCCAAGAGAGCTGTCAGGCTAGACCTGTAAACACAGCTCATTTTGAAGAATTCAAAGTCAAAGACCCATAAAAATCATATCCAAGCCTCTTAATTATCCTCAAAATGTTGCTTCTTCTAAATCTGACCTACGCACTGATGTAACAGCCTTCTTCTCCACAATACAAATTGCGTAAAGTCTAAAAATTCAAAGCCGAAAGGAGCATCGGGCTCAATAAAAAAGATCTAAGCCAATGAAAAAATATTACCTCCTTGAACTTGAGGTTCATTTGCTCTGTAGATAATAAAGTAATTAAAAAGCAAGTAGCTATTTGTACCCTCATGATTAGCTAGTGAAAAGTTTAATTTCCTCATTGATGAATACTTTCTCACTTTCCCATCAATGATGCCAGTGTCCACAGCTTCCTAATATATCCCCATTTGATGTTGCCTTTCAGATGTTGCAGCAATGAATTTACAATGACTTAGAATAAAAAGTAGATTAAAAAAAATAATACAAACACTCAAGAACCTAAATTCCGAGAGGCAGATATACTGAACAAGCATGCCCCCCAAAGTATACAGTTTTAAAACCATACTTTAAACCTTTCTAACACAGTAAGTCCACCATTCAGCTTTCCTATCCTTACCTTTCCAACTCTGCAATCTTCTTATCTTTGTCATTCTTCTCATTTTCCACTTCCTTCAATATTTCCAAGAGGCGGTCAACTTCTGCCTGGGCCTTGCTAGATTCATCTTTGAACCTAGCAATCTCTCTCTCCAATTGCTGTATTCGGTCACTCATCTCTGGACTGGCTCTGGCTTCCAATGTTGCCTCATGTGCCTACAAAGAAAAGTGTTCAAATTCTATCAGACATATATATAGTGGCAGTGGGCAAACCATGTCCCAAAGGACCATCTATATTTCAATTTAAATAGAGCATTATCAAATATCTAACAGCGGGTCTTCAATTTATGAAGCCTTTCTCCGCTTAAATATTACATAGACAAAATAGTAGTAATAAATTGAGAAATAATTATCATGGATTTCAAATGGATTTGTGTTTAGATGTACTACAGTACATATCTGAATATTAGGCCAAAAATCATATGACAAGACATGTTTTTCTGAGTGTGAGACATACAAACAAGCCATTAGACTACTATTGATCGACTATTGATCTCTCCAAGATAATCTCTCCAATCTCTCAAAAAGGCATCACTAGAGATTCACTGCTGATGTTACTATAACCAATGCCAATGCTGAGATCTAATTCCCACTTGACCCTTACTTCCCTTCCCTTTTCCTATATACTGCTTTACCAAGCATGTATGAATCACATGGCCTGGAGCATACACAATCATATAGATACTACAAATGTGATGCCATAAAACTGAAGTTAGGTTACAGGGCACCTGGGTGGCTCAGCTGGTCAAGCATCTGATCCTTGGTTTCAGCTCAGGTCATGATCCCAGGGTCATGAGATGGAGCCCCACATCTGGCTCCGTGCTCAGCATGGAGTCTGCTTAAGATTCTCTCCCTCTCCCTCTGCCCCTCACCCCACACTCTCTCAATCTCTCTCTAATAAATAAATCTTTAAAAAAAAAATGAAGTTGGTTAAGAAAATGGCTATCCACATGCAGGTATCTTCCTAAGATAGGATTCAGGATTTTACAAGATAACATGGAACAAGCAAAGTCGGAAATCAACAGTCCCATGTAGAACCAAGAAAAAATTTTCAGATTCCTGTTGCAAATATAACTAGTACCTTCAGTGCATTTTGGAATGCAAAGCAACTTCAATAATTAAAAACTAATTATCAAGTCTTTAATTTTTCTCCCGAATCTCTAAAGCCATGCATGTATAATGTATTTAAAGAGAAGGTAGAGGTGAAGATGTTTTATTTTCCCTTATTTAATAGACAATAAAACATAATTAGTTCTTTAAAATGGTTTGAAAAAATATTAAAGGGGTAAATATATGTTATTAGGAAATACTTCGGAAAGCTCTGATGCAAAATACCTTGAGTAAAAGAGAAATGTTCCTATAAATTGGGCTAAATACTTTGTCAAAGCAAAAGCTGTACTTCTAAGATCAAGACCTTTACCAACATCTTTTGTTTCAGGTTTAATCAGTTAGGAAAATCCAGTTACTAACAGTGGCCTTTAAAAAAGATTCCCCTGGGGCGCCTGGGTGGCTCAGTTGGTTAAGCGACTGCTTTCGGCTCAGGTCATGATCCTGGAGTCCCGGGATCGAGTCCCGCATCGGGCTCCCTGCTCAGCGGGGAGTCTGCTTCTCCCTCTGACCCTCTTCCCTCTCGTGCTCTCTATCTCTCATTCTCTCTCTCTCAAATAAATAAATAAAATCTTTAAAAAAAAAATAAAAAATAAAATAAAAAAGATTCCCCTGGCAGCCATGTATTTTAATGTGTTAGCAAAATTCTAATCTAAACTGGTGTGGTTAAAAGCCACAACAAAGTAAAATCAAGAAGAAAGAGAGGCAGCCCTGAATGAATTAACTCATTAAGAATAAAACAAGGCAAAAGCAGCAGAAATGCAAACACTTCCCAATGCCTGGAGGGAAATTTTGATCTTACAGAAACTTTTCCACTTTGTATTCATCCCAATATACTTTAGAAAGGAGTTATTTTTTAAGTCTAGAGTTCCTATTTGAGGAAGGGAGAGAGAAGGTCAAGTGCATTCATTTTCTACAGAGTAGTAAAAAACCACTCATAAAAAAATACAGAAAAAACATCAACCAGGGCTTTATGGCACTACTCTGTCACATCACTTACTGGTCGGAATGGGTGGCTTAATACTATTTCAGGATCCTAAAGGGAGAAAAGTCAGTAAGAAAAGGAGAAAAAAAGGTAGAAGGAAATGGTATAAGAAAAGAATAAGCAAGAGAAAGAAAGTAAAAGATCAAAAATATAATTTTTAAAAACTTGTGATAAAAAAAATTCTCCAGAAAGAGATGTCTCTTCCCAGAGGGAAAAAAAAAGAATTCAGCACTTTTTACAGTTCTCGTAATTCAAAAGTTGAATTTCAATGCTTTCCTTAATAATTCTGAGGTCATTATCTCACGTGGAAGACATAAAATATGGAAATTCACCTACAGGGCATAAATTCCTAAGCTAGAAGTGTTTCTGTTCCATTTCCACTCTGTTCTATTTTTGTGTTAGTACCGTACTGTCTTGATCACTACAGCTTTTTAATATAACTTGAAGTCCAGAATTGTGATGCCTCCAGCTTTGCTTTTCTTTTTCAAGAATGCTTTGGCTATTCAGGGTCTTCTGTAGTTCCATACAAATTTTAGGACTATTTGTTCTAACTCTAACTCTAAAAATGCTAGTGGTATTTTTTTTTTTAATATTTTATTTCTTTACTTGAGAGAGAGAGAGAGCATGCACAAGGGGGGGGGGGCAGAGGGAGAGGGAGAAGCAGGCTCCCTGCTGAGCAGAGAGCCCGATGTAGGGCTCAATACCAGGACCTGAGCTGAAGGCGGATGCTTAACCGACTGAGCCACCCAGGCAACCCTGCTGGTGGTATTTTGATGGGCATTACATTAAATGTGTAGGTGGCTTTGGGTAATATAGACATTCTAACAATATTTGTTCTTCCTATCCATAAGCATGGAATGTCTTTCCATTTCTTTGTGTCATCTACAATTTCTTTCATCAGTGTTTTATAGTTCTCAGAGTACAGTCTTTCACCTCTTTGGTTAGGTTCATTCTTAGGGATCTTAACTGTTACAACTGTAAATGGGATTGATTCCTTAATTTCTCTTTCTTTTGCTTCATTATTGGTGTACAGAAATACAACAGCTTTCTCAACGTTATTTTGTATACTTGTGACTTTACCGAATTCATTGATCAGTTCTAGCAGTTTTTTTGTGGAGTCTTTCAGGTTTTCTATATAAACTATCACGTGATCTGCAAATAGTCAAAGTTTGACTTCTTCCTTACCAATTTGGATGCCTTTTATTTCTTTTTGTTGTCTGATTGCTGTGGCTAGGACTTCCAGTACTATGTTAAATAACTGTAGTGAGAGTAGACATCCCTATCTTGTTCCTGACCACAGAGGCACTGAGGATGATATTAGCTGTGGGTTTTTTGTATATGCCTTTATTATGTTGAGGTATGTTCCCTCTAGACCTACTTTGTTGAGGGTTTTTACCATGAATGGATGTTATACTTTGTCAAATGCTTTTTCTCCATCTACTGAAATGATCATATGGTTCTTTTCTTTTATTATTGTGGTGTATCACATTGACTGATTTGTGAATATTGAACCACCCCTGCAAACCAGGAATAAATGCTACTTGACTGCGGTGAATGACTTCTTTTAAATGTATTGTTGTGTTTGGTTTGCTAGTATTTTATTAAGAATTTCTGCATCCATGTTCATCAGGGATACTGGCCTGTAGTTCTCTTTTTTAGTGGAGTCTTAATCTGGTTTTGGTATCAGGGTAATGCTGGCTTCACAGAATGAATTTGGAAGTTTTCCTTCCTTGTCTATTTTTTGGAATAGTTTGAGAAGAAAAAAAAGAGAAATAAGTATGGTGGGGATGTACAGAAAAGAGAACCCTTATACACTGTTGGTGGGAATGTAATTCGATACAGTCACTACGGAAAACAGTATGAAGCTTCCTCAAAAAGTTACAAACAGAACTACCATATGATCCAGGAATTCTGCTTCAGGGTATATATCCAAAGGAAACAAAATCACTATCTCGAAAAGATTATCCATACCCCCATATTCATTGCAGCATTATTTATAGTAGCCAAGACAGGAATCAACCTAAATGTCCACTGATGGATGAAAGGATAAAGCAGTCATGGTACATATACAGAATGTAATACTATTTACCCATTAAAAAAAGGAAGGAATTCCTTCCATTTGTAACAACATGGGTGGAGCTTGAAGGCATTATGCAAAATGAAGTATGTCAGACAGAAAAAGAGAAATATTACATGATCTCGCTTGTATGTGGAATCTAAACAACTGAACTCAGACAAACAGAGAACAGATGGTTGGTTACCAGGGGCAGGGAGGGGAGTGTGTGAAATGGGTGAAAGTGGTCAAAGAGTACAAGCTTCCAATTATAAGATAGTAAAGTTCTCAGGATGTACTACACAGCATGGTGACTATGGTTAACAATACTGTTTTATTTGAAAATTGTTGAGAGAGTAAATTTTAAAAGTTCCCACAAACAAAAAATAAAATAAGTTGTATCTATATAAAAAAATAAACAAAAATAAACCTACAAATAAGCTATAAAACAAAACAAAATGCTAATGTAGAAAACAAAGACAACAAAATCCTAGGCCTAATAAGCTCCTTAAGAATTAAAAATTGTAGGGACGCCTGGGTGGCTCAATCAGTTAAGCATCTGCCTTCGGCTCAGGTCACTGATCCCGGGGTCCTGGGATCGTGCCCCACATCAGGCTCCCTGCTCAGTGGCGAATCTGCTTCTTCCTCTGCCTGCCACTCCCCCGCTTGTGCTTGCTCTCTCTCTGACAAATAAATAAATATCTTTAAAAAGAATTAAAACTGTAGCAAATAAAAAAAACAAAAAATCATCTGATGATATTTGGCTCTATTTTTTAGACAGAATGGACATATTATATTAGTTACAGGTGTACACCATAATGATTTGACATATGTATAGTATACTGTGAAATGATCACCACAATATATCTAATTAACATCTATTACTACAAAGTTACAAATAATTTCCTTCTTGTGATGAGAACTTTTAAGATCTACTCTCTTAGCAACTTTCAAATATACATAAAGTATTATTAATTATAATCACCATGCTGTACATTATATCCCAGGGCT